CAATACTACGACATAACACTTTGTAAATAAATAGTTTCCGACATTTAGTGTTGTTTTTCTTGCATGTTTGCTCTTGTCAATAAAGTATTTACGACTACATGTTTCTAACTTTTTCTATAATTTCCATCAAGAACTAGTCTCACAAGATGAAAATTTTAGACAAACTTGGATATTCGGAGAATCGCGCTTCGTTCAAAACGTCGTAGTTTGATTCTACATTTTTCTGATACACTCAAGCTTCTCCTTGCAGACATATGCATCTTGTAAGCGAACACCTCTCGACTTTAGTTAGCTACGTCCATCGAGAAGATCAATTTCTATATCCTTTTCTACTCTATTATTCCTATATCTATTCGAGCAATTATTACGCCTTGGAATCGTATATTTTTATGTTTTTACCAGTGAAAAATGATCGTAACATAATAAACTAGAGGGGTTCTCAGCGACTGCATATAATCCCGAATCACGCATACATTATGTAATGCGCTAGTTATATGCATTCACTTTACTCTGCCTGCACGTAAAGCAAGACAAACGCCTGCTAATTTCTCGGCCAATTTTCATCTGAATTGAACTAAAAGCATTTGATCAATTTGTCCTTGGGCTATTTCTATTAGCCACACAGTTTTCGTTTCACTGTAATACCTTGGATAGATTTTGATTTACCGTGTTGACTCGGAGATAAATATATTATCGAATTTTCCCCACTATACATGTGCAGTTTGCACAAAAACCAAATAGCACTATCCCCCGGATATCGATTTTTTTCAAGGTTTTTTTAGAGCAAATTAAGCATTACAAGATAAAAATGAAATTGTTTTTCTTAATAAACTCTCACCTCCGATTATAGTATAAAATAATTATCTTTAATTTTTATTTTATAGGTTTAGATACGGATGGCCTTTTTATTTCTTTTTAATAAAATATTGAGAAAAAAGTCCTTCCGTAGCTATAATCCTATGGATTTAAAAATAATTTCTAAAAGTTAAAGTTTCGTTTAATTATTTGATCCATATTCATAGTTAATTCTATCACTTTTCAAGCATTTTTACAACGCAAGCAAAAGTCACTATTCGGTTGATAGCGCTATCCAGCCTTCGTACAACCGATCCTGGTCTACAGAAGCTTAAAATTATTACATAGTGCATCTCAAACAGTATAATTACACGTTAATGTGAAGTATTACTTGAATATCGTGTTTATTAACTTTTCTATCAAGTTATATTTTGAATTTCCTAAGCCATTCCGTTTCGGGTGTGTTTTCGTTTTGCACTTCGCACCCACCACCTGTCTTATATATTGTCGCCCGCATATCATTCTCAAGCACTGCTGTCCAGTTCACATAGATAATATAATATTTCGCAATGATAATGCGGGCAGTACTAAGTCAACTTTTATACAAATAATATCAATTAAAGTTAAAACTGCACTGAAGCTGATATTCAATTCAGTGTTGTTCCGCAAATACAATGAATAATATGAACTTAGATTTTAATTTAAAACCTCGTGTTCTGTTTAATTCTTTTAGTTTTCTTATCTTCCACATGTTGTAAATGAGATAGCAAAGCAAAATCAATCTGTCCGTGGAACAAAAATGTCATGAAAAATGCGTTAAAATGTCATACAAAATCCTGCAAAATACAGTTTTTGTTATAACCAAACAACCAGATCAGTGGTCAGGATAAACAGAGTTAGGAAAGTAATCTCTCAATTTTTGTAAAGATATAAATGTAATTGGAAAATGTAATCACTGAAAAGCCTCATGCAATGGGGAGTGAGCTGAATAATAATCAATTAACTCAAGTTACAAGGACGAAATTGTTGATACAGTATATGTAGGTTCCATTGCTGTGGTGGGATCTTCTTTGACCATGTACTACTTCTTTTCACAACCATAAACTGTTATACACAAATGTGAAATGGTATTAGAAACGCTTATTTTCTTCTTCAGTGCATTTGCTTATACAATAATATACTTGTCATGATGCTTGTGATGTTACTCTGAGTGTATAGCCACACCGGGCAAGCTTGAAAAATATGCCTGACCACGATGGGAATCGAACCTACGACCTTTGGAATACTAGCCCAATGCTCTGCCAACTGAGCTACGCGGTCACATCGGTTCAAGTATGTGATATTTCGGAACAGAGTGATATTTCGGAACAGAATCTAGTTCCTTTGATATCAATGTAATGATAATCTAATAATCAGTAATAATTTTTCTGTGTTCGTGTAATGTACTCAGGTGAATATGATGCTGGTGATGTTACTCTAAGTGTATATCCACACCGGGCAAGCTTGAAAAATATATGCATTACACCAACACAGAAAAATGATTACTGATTTTTAGATTACATTGATATCGAAGGAACTAGATTCTGTTCCGAAATATCACATACTCACACCGATCTGACCGCATAGCTCAGCTAGTATTCCAAAGATCATAGGTTCGATTCCCACCGTGGTCAGGCATATTTTTCAAGCTTGCCGGGTGTGGATATACACTCAGAGTAACATCACAGGCATCGTATTCACCTGAGTACATTACACCAACACAGAAAAATTAATACTTGTCATGGTTAAAAAAGTTGACTTGTTCGCAAAACTACATGGTCCTCCTTCAGATGGAAACTCACAAAGAACTGATGAAGTTGTTACTTCGAGAGAATGAGAAATAAAACAAGCAATATCGTGTTTTATTGCTGTCATTTGTTTGTTGCGTTCTTTGTCTCCTACCAGCAGAGATTGCGCATTTCTCTTTTTTGGAAGCCTGGATAAATACATGAAGGGTATACAATTGTAAAAACTCCGTAAAATTTCTTACAAATTTATGTGAATATGGGTATTTTGGGGTCTTCTGATTTTTAGTCCTTAAACTAATATGAAAATTTCACTTTTGAGTGCAGGAGAGCTGGTTTTAGATAGCACATTAAAAATGTATAATATTTTGTTTGTGGATCGAACACCAAGTAAATTTATTACTGCATGGAAAGCTTTCGATCCGTAAGCCCGGATCTTCATCATGCAGTGCTAATAAGATGTATTACTATTATTGGCATGCTGATGAAGATCCGGCCGGCTTACGGATCGAAAACTTTGCAGTATTAAATTTACGTGGTGCATGTTTCCACAAACAAAATATTATATGTTTTATCGCCATGCAAACCTATAGAAAAAAGTAAAAAACTTATTACATTAAAAATGGTTTATGTATACATATGTAATGTGTAAAACTGCACAACTTGGACTTGTTTTGATGAAATGAGGCTGTTTAATTAATGAACTATCAAAGTATCAGACAATTTGAGTTATTTGACTTACACATTAATTTCATGCATAGCGCGACCACTAAAACTTGGACTTTTTCGTGTGCACACTTTCTTATGCTAAAAGTTACAGATTATAATTATAGACGGGTTGTATATAAACTATGCATTTTTATGAAAAATTTAGAAGTTTGAAGCACAAAGAGAAGTAAAATTTACAATAGATCATTCCCATTATAGACTAATTTTAAAACTAGGGAAGGATATGCAAATAAATCACCATAGGTAGAAAGAGCATACTAAAATTAGTAAATTTGCAAAATTTGGTTGCGAAATGTTGTAAAATGCGGAAAATATAGCCTTGCAAAGTTCGCAAATATTGTATACTTTTGTATTGCGTGCGACCATTTTCGGCCCAAATGTGGTAGGAATGTGGTAGGAATTTCCGCACGCAATACAAAAGTATACAAAATATGCGAACTTTGCAAGGCTATATTTTCCGCATTTTACAACATTTCGCAACCAAACTTTGCGCATGCACTTACTAATTTTAGTATGCTTTTTTTAGCTGTTGTGATTTATTTGAGTCTACTTGCCTTGTCTTAAAATTAGTCTATAATGGCAATTGTCTATTAACATCGAGTGTCAAGAAAGCATTTCGACTTTGAAAATCAAAGTCCAACGGTCGTTGATATTTAATTCCACCCAATCAGAATACAGCAACTACTCAGATCTAGCTAGCGAAGCTGGGGGTCGACAAGCAATGTCACGAATTTTGACAGACTGTATTACTGCATAATACAGTCAGTATACAAGCTACAGTGGCAGACACTTTGCAAAATTTTGGTCCGCTTTTTGGTGCTGGAAAATCTCAGTTTTTTAAATTTTTGCATTGCCTCAAATTTCTGGCAATTTATAGCTTAATTTATTCCCAATGCTTTCATGGTTGAAAAATATTTTTACTATCATTCAAACAAAGGCTTTCAGAAATTTTTGGCTAGGGGGAGTTGCACCCTCATATAAGATACAAAAGATAACAGATTGTGAATCTTCAATCAGAATTAATGTATTCCACTTGTATTTGAAATGTTGCAAATAAACCTAATTTAACTTGAGAGGACTTCTTGTATACTTTTGTTGTGTTTACGTCGTTACCAGCACCAACCTGCGAACGGGCATACTACGGGTTCCTAGGAGATTGACATCCCAATAGCAAAATCTAAGAATCTATCTACGATAAAAATGAGAGATCACATTATGGGATCACATTATGAAAGGTTGAGAACTTTCCACTACAATAGAGAAAATGTAAATAAATGCAATTACGCGACTATTCAACAATATGTGTCCTAAGAAAATGTTAGAATTTCACTACCACAAAATCGCAGTTATATTTGGCAGTGTGGTCTTTGTGCACAACGGCGGCATGTCTATATCAGCTAGCTGGCCACTAAAATACACACGCTCAAATTTCAGTTGTCTATTATTAAGACGGCGATAACCCGAACTGCAAATTGCATTTCTCACTTTCCATCGTTGAATATGAATATTTCGTTGCCCTAGGGCGCCCAACACAAACGTTTCACCAGCGTTAGGTAAAATCTGGAGAGCCTCTCGAACAACATTACACAAATCAGTATGGGTAATTTAAGTAAACGTGTTTCGTGGCCCACTTGTGTTGCTGACTGGTAAGCGGTACTCGTGGCGTCGTCGTAATATAGTTCGGTAGCTCACTCCAATTTCCACAGCAACTTGAGACCATCAGCTGCGGTGTATCCATGTAAGTTGGTCAAAGCATTCTGCAGAAGACTGTATCGTCTTCTTCCTTTTTGAACAATTCCCTCTAATGGAAAAGTAAAACTCAGCGGGTTAGCTAAGTTCTCATTTCTGATCCAAAGCGCGTCGTAACTATTGCACAATGATTGCAATTCAGACACCAAAATACCAAGATCATTCTGAATTTGTCGATCGTCAATGCGTTCTATTGCACGCTGGAGAAGTATATTTACAACAAATAAATTGTCGTCTAGGCGTCGCTGGATAAACTCAACAACATTGATATTGTCACAAAACAATTGACGACGCGCCTCTGTAATTTGATTTGGAATATTTCTCAAGAAAACTTTGATGTTTATTTCTTGGCTCGTATGGACCTTTCCCCTTATAACTAAAATTTTAATCTAGAGAAAAATTTCATCACCGGTTGAAGGAGCGTCACAAAATTAGTAATATTGCGAAGTTTGCCGTTTTTCAGTCATTTTGTTACCCTGGTTCCAGAGGTTTATTTTTATTATTTTCATTGCGAAGGGGAGAGGAAAAATAAACCTCTGGTTGAAAGTGGCAATTGATTCATCGAGCCGCGCCAATCCGTTTGAATTATAGGGTCAGATCCTGACTCTGTCTCCTGATTGGATGATTGTATTAAAGCTCTCTGATTGATTCAAATAAAACATCCATAACCAATCAGAGAACTTTAATACAATCATCCAATCAGGAGACAGAGTCAGGATCTGACCCTAATTTAAACTGATTGGCGCGGCTCGATGAATCAATTGCCGCTTTCAACCAGAGGTTTATTTTAAACCTCTGGAACCAGGGTATCATTTTGTATTACGCACGGGAAATTGACAGCCCAATACAACCTTTTCATAAATGGCTGCCGATAAAAAATTCTTTTATGTGCATATAAATTGGCCCAACTAGCCTCGTACTCATGTTAAGATTTCAAAGGAATTTCTACCCAGAAACGAGGCTTGTTGGGCAATTTATATGCACATAAAAGAATTTTTAATCGACAGCCATTTATGAAAAGGGTGTATTGAGTGTTGGGGCATCAATTTCCCGTTTGTAATGCAAAATGACTGAAAATTGCAAATTTCGCAAGGCTATATTATCCGCATTTTACAACATTTCGCAACGAAACTTTGGAATATTACTAATTTTGTGATGC